GCCCAAACCACACCCACTGCCTGGAGTCCATTCCGACCCACAGCGCCCCCAGAGGACAGAGTGGAACTGCACCACAGGGTCTCCAAGGCTGTCAGTCTTCAGGGAAGCAAAGCCCAAACCACAGCCACTGCCTGGAGTCCATTCTGACCCACAGCGCCCCTAGGGGACAGAGTGGAACTGCGCCACAGGGTCTCTAAGGCTGCCTAAGGCACTTGACTGCTAACCAGAAGGCTAGCGGTTCAAACCCACCAGCCACTCCTCAGAAGGAAGGTTGGGCAATGTACTTCTTTAGTGATACTGCCTTGGAAACCCAAGGAGGGGTTGCTGTGAGTCGGATCTGACTCGACGGCGGTGGGTTTGGTTCTGGTAATCTTTCCAGAAACTGCCTGCCTCAGCTTTCTCCCACGCAGGGGCTGGTGGTTGCACACCACCCACCTTTTGGTTAACAGCCGAGCACTTAACCATAGTGCCACCAGGGTGCCTTCTTTGGGTGGATACAGCCTTTAGAAAACAGATTTCCTCCAGACCCAAGAGGCTGTGCTGTGAAAGTCTCCTGCCCCTCCCTGACCAGGGTCACCAGTCTCTCACCCCCTTCTGCAGCTTGGAGCCTACACATGAGCTCTAACCCCGAATCCGTTGCCATCAAGCCGACTCAGACTCACAGTGAGCCATGTGACAGAGTAGGGCTGCCCGTAGAGCCTTCTAGGATGTCATCCTCATGCAAGCAGGTCGCCAGTTCTCTCCAGTGGAAATGGTGGGCGGGTTTGAACGGCCGACCTTTGGCTTAGCAGCTGAGTCCTTAACCATTTGCAGCCCAGGGCTTAATTCTAGTCATAGCTGATTGGAGGCCATTGGGCCCCTCTGGCATTCTTTGATGACCCTCCTCGCAGGGTGGCCTCTCGAGAGATGTTCTTTTTTTTTCTTTTTCTTTTTTTTTAAATTGTGATTTGGGTGAAAATTTACAGAGCAAATTCTTTCCATACAGTTCACATACACTTTGTCTCATGACGTTGACTACAATTTACCCCAATGCAACAGCTCCCCTCCCATTTCCTCCTCATAGTTACCTCTTCCCTGTGTCCATCCTCCATGCACTCCTGCCCCCTGAGCTGTCTCCCTGTGCATACACAGCCCTTTTTTCTCCCATGATTGTTCTCGAGAGATTAATTTTAATTCTTCATCAAGAACATCTGTTACAGGGCTTTGTCCACCAGCGGCAGCCGGCCCACCAGGATCTCTGCTTCCCGTTCCTGCCTCAAAAATCCCTTTAGCAAAGGGTGAACTCATCACTCAAAACAAATTAAAGCTCTTTATCTCAGTTCTGTGGAACAAACATCCCTCTCATTGCCTGTTCAAATTGCCTTTAATAACAGAAGATTATTTCAAATCGAGGGGAACCTGCCTAAACACCTACCCTGGTTTCCAAAAACTTCCAATCTGTCCATGGAACAGACCACGAAACGTTTTTGCATAGCCGTTGGTACACTGTTTTCCTTTTGGTTTTCAGTTCAATCCCATTGCCTTGCATTCCTGAGGGGCCTACAGCTTGGGGCATGGGTCGCAGCGGCTCAAAGCAACCAACCAGTTGCCGTGGAGTCAGCTCTGACTCATGGCAACCCCAGGTGGGAACCAGGCTCCACGGGGTTTGCAGGGGCTCATTTTTTTGGAAGTAGTTTCCCAGGTGTTTCTAGTGAGGTGCCTCTGGCTGGACTCAACCCTCCAACCTTCTGGTTCACTGCCGAGAGCACCACTGCCCTACCTCCCCGGGGCTCAGCTGTGACTAAAGCCCCTGCCGTTCCGTTCCAGGTCCTCCCGTCTCCCCCAGTCCCCAAGACGGCCCAGGGCTTCATCGGCTGGAGATCAGGGCAGCCGGGCCTCAACAGGTGCCTGGAGCACGACCTCGAGATCCGGAGCTGCAAAGGGGCCTACGCCAAGGAGCTGGGCTGGCCCAAGCAGGGCATCCACTGAGAACGGCCTGGGGCCCTGGGCCTGAACCCCCGCCGCTGGGGACTCAGGCCTCGGGCAGACAGAGAGCCCCTCTGGGGACATTCCCCCGCCACACTGCCATGGAATGAGGCTGAAAACACCAAGCACCCCTCCCATGTTTCGGGCCATCAGCACCCCTCTTCTGGACCACTTGGGTTCATCAAATGGCCCTGCCTAATGTGACCAATAAGACTAGACAGATTCTCTGATTTTTTCTTTTTTCTTTTCTTTTTGATGCCTTGAACATTTCTAGGAGCTCTGGTAGGAAGGTTGGTGGTTCAAACCCACCAGCCACTCCAGGGAAAATCTACTTCCGAAAGGATCTACCACCTGGGAAACCCAATAGGGGTAACTATGTGTTGGGATTGACTCAATGGCAGTGGGTTTGGCTTTTGGTTTTTGAAGATTTCTAGGTATGGCTTTTAAAAACCAGTAAGTGATTTTTTTTTTTTTTTTTTTTTAATAAATATTTGGCTAAGCCCTCTGTGGGTCTCAAATGGTTAAGCACCAACTACGAGCTGAAAGGTTGGCGGTTGGAACCTACCTACCCGAGGCACCTTGGGAGACAGGCTACAATGTGCTGAAAAGTCACAGGCTTGCACCTCTTGGGGCAAGTTCTTCTCCCCACAGATGAGGCACCATGGATCGGTGGCAATGAACCAACAATGGGCCCTTCAGTGTGGCTTTCAGTCACATCAGCTACCACCCTGTCGATAATGACTGTTGACCAATAGTTCCAGTAGTTTCTGTATCCAAATAATCCTTTGGGGACACTTGGAACCCCTTGATTGTCCTCTCCAAGGATATTAGCAATAAATCAAGAGCATTTAAGGAAGAAGGGAGCCCACGATTTGCCCTTGAGTGCACATTCCAAAAGAAAGCAGGCCTCCTAAGGGCTGAATGAGAACACCTCCCGCCGACCTCCCAGCCACGCTGTCCACACACGCAGCTGGCTGGCCAGCCAGGCCTCATTCCTTCCCTCACGGACTGCAGCGTCCACTGGTATTGCCCTGGGGCTTTCCTGCTGATTCTACAAGTGAGGCAGGCCACGTGTCCTCAGACCCTTGAACTGAACCGCAGTGGGAGCGTGGGCCGCCATGGGCCGCCATGTGAGTGTGTGCAGCAGGTGGGTGGCTTCTTGGAGCACCGTGGCAGCATGGAGGGCAGGGAGCTGGTGACGCTCAGGTCTGCCCTCCAGGGAGACGCCTGCCCCCACCCTTTGGCCGCCGAGCACCGCTGTGTGCGGGTGAATTCCTCCTGCTTCCTGCTGTGTTCCGTCTGCCTGGAGCTGCAGGGCTTGGCGGTGCTGGAACCCACTGCCAGGCCCGTCCCGCACGCCCTCCCTGCTCACCGTCCCGTGGGGCTGAGTGGGGCTGCTGTGAACTAAGTCCAGACGCCCATCGTCTTCAGAGCCTCCCAGCCCTGAACACTGGCCTCACCTCCCCTGGAAGGACTCCTTGAGAACCTGGGCTTGTTGTTGTTGTTGTTATGTGCCGTCGAGTCGGCCCCGACTCATAGCGACCCCTCCTTGGGTTTCCGAGGCAGTATCACTACGGAAGTAGGATTGCCC